CCAGCATTTCATCAGGTTTTACTGAGAGTTACTAGGCATTTATACTTTATCCTGACATTGCAAGAATTTTGGTGTCAGAGAAGGATGAAGTAAGCCTCTCTGGACCCTTCTATCACTCTGCGTCAAGTCTCAAGTATGTATATATGTGATAAAAGGATAGGAAATCAAATCTGGGCCACAGCTATAGAAGGAAAGCACACATATCTACCCTTTCATTCTTAGAACTAACTAATATCTAAGTTCTCCCCATAATATTTGACACATACAGTAATATCCAGTAAAAAGGCAGTGGAAATACTCAAACTAAACTTATCAATTAGAGGCCATCACCTTGATTTAGATCCTAAATTCTGGTGACTAACTTACAAGGAAATGTGTAGCTATTAAAAGAGAGAATCAATAATCAGATCTTGGGAGTTAAGCATTAAAGAAAATGGTAGCTTTTTTTTCTTTTTTTTTAGGTACAGTCAGTATGCTTTCTTAAATTATAACAGGAACACATTTCTAACCTTTTCCACTCTTGAATGGTCTCCAAGTTCCAACATGAACCCCTTCTGTTGAAGTATCAGCAACTGACTGTGACATTGTTGGAAGACTCAACATTAAACTGGTTTTACCACTTCCTTGGTTTCCAAGAAATGTCATTCGACACAAATACTGTAAATTACACTTCTTCAGGAATTGCCGACAAGATTCAAGTCCTTTGTTTGCAATATCTAAAGGTGGACATCTGAGACCTTTGCACCCTTCCACTTTGATTTCTTGAAGTGAAAAATGCTCCAAAATTTCAAATGGGAAATGTTTAATTGCGCACTGTGACATATCAACAAATGTTAAGTCTTGGCAGTTTGATACCAAAGCCTCTAATGATTTTTCAGTTAATTTCACGCACCAACTCAACTGTACTTTTCTTAATGAGGTACAGTTTGTAGAAAGAGCAATAACTGAGCCATCTGTGATATCTTGACAGCCACTGAAGTTCACCGATTGAAGTGCCCTACATTTGGCACAAAATCCATTGACTCCTTGATCAGTTAACTTGCAATGGCTTAAACACACGTCCTCTAAACTTGGGCAGGCATTGACTACTCTCTCAATGAGTTCATCTGTAACTGCTTGAAGTTCACTCAGGTCTAAAACTTTGATATTTGACCCAACATGCTCCAAGAATTGCTTGAGAGCATTTGTTGTAACATTCTCAAAACCACAAAGAGCAAATTGTTCCAGAATCAAATCTGACCTTTGAAGAAATGATGTAAAAAGGTCATCACCAAGAGTCCAGCTCTTTTCATCATCATTATTACTGTTGTTATCATCCTCACTTTCCGTCGACATAACAGTCACACATTTTAGATTTGGACAGTTGTTGACAAAGAAAGAAATGCCAGAAGATGTCAGCACCTTACAGCAGCCAGTAAAGGAAATTCTCGAGAGCTTTGTACAATGTTCTGAGATCTTGGCAGCACATTCATCATCAAATGATTGACAGTTTTGAATAGTGAGTGCATCTAAATCAGAGTGTATATCTTCCAAAAGAGATGCAACATTCTCTGAAGAGAGTGCTCCACAGCTTTTAAAAATCAACTCAGAAACACCTTGATTTTCGTGAAGACTTTCCTATAGTGAACAGTAAATTAATGTAACACCAATGTCAGTAGAAAAATTTTAGTTCTGATAAAAATAATACACAGCATAATCATAGTATAAAGGAAAACATTCATTAGCTAGTAGTCAGTGAAATAGTCATTAACCACAGGGTTTGGAGGCAGCATGCTTGCTTGGTATGAGCAATAGAATCTTAATCTGCACTCCTTCTCTAACCAACAGATCGATTCCTTTCTCAATACAGTCGAACCTCAATTAACTGAACTTTTTGATTATCTGGACTTTTCAATTATACAGACTTTTTCTCTGGTCCCATTTTTTTTTTTCATGAATATATATAAATGAGCTTTGATCTTCAAAGCTTTAAGAGGTTACAATTCAGAGATTATGTTTAAAGTGCACCTAAACTCAAAAATGTTTTTTCACTTAACGAAATAAGCTTATTTTTTGGAGTATTTCTCACGTAAAGTTTCTTAATTTGCTCAAATCTTTAATTTTCTGTGCCCAGTCAAAATACTGAAAATCGGCTGCCATCTTGCCCCACAACTGAGTTTAAAGAGGAATGGCTCTAGCGGGTAATGCGACATCAAATCGAGAATACGAAAGTCTGCATTTCACACATTTTCACTTGTTTGGTAAGGTTGTCATCGATATTGTCTGAAATATGCCAACTAGGTGTGTTGTATGAGGAATGTATGAAGCGCGATTCCCTCTTGCAAATTTTGCATGTTGCCACATCCTTCTACAACACACTTATTCAGCAAAATATCGACTACAACCTTCCCAAACAAGTGAAAATGCGTGAAATGTAGACTTTCGTGTTCTCGACTTGACGTCACATTACCCGCTAGAGCCATTCCTCTTTAAACTCAGTTGTGGGGTAAGATATGGCGGCCCATTTTCCGTATTTTGACTGGTTACAGAAAATTGAAGATTTGAACAAATAAAAAAATTTTTGCACAAAAATACTCCAAAAAATATGCCTATTTCGTTAAGCAAAAAAAATTTTTTGGGTTTAGGTGCACTTTAAAGTCAGGAAAAGTGTGTTTAAAACAGCGCATTACCTCCTCTGCTTTCAAAAGATCGAGCACTCGGAGAGTCATCGAAGCAGACTTTTAAAATTAAAAATGTGTTATCTTTATTTTCTATTTCTTTACATTATTGTCTTATTAATATTCATATTTTCGATTATCCGAACTCTAGATTATCCAGACTTAATTTACCTCAGTCCCAACGAGTCTGGATAATCAAGGTTCAACTGTAGTGCCATGTTCATCTCATCAGCAAAGCTAACAAACTAAGAGAACCAGTAAATTCAGGAGTAGGAGACCTAAATTTTGGATCCTGATAGAAAATGGAAAACTCACATATGTAAGTTGTCCAGCATGTTCAACAATAGCAAATTTCATGCCTTCAGTAACTGTGACAATTGATTTTCGAAATTACTCCTAATTACATTTTTTACTGGTTACAGCAAAATTAGGATATTATCTTTTATTGGGTTTGTCATGTGAATTATAACAATTTCACCCTTAAAAAGTAACTACATCCAAGTTTGACATTTAGTTGACTCTAATAATCAAACTAGAAAGCAAATTTAATTTGATTTTATCAGCTAAGTTGAAATTATAAACTGGCCACTGTAAAGAGTTAAAAAGCTGACGTTTTGAGCGTTAGCCCTTCGTCATTTGCTCTGACAAAGGGCTAACACTCGAAATGTCAGCCTTTTAAGTGGCCAATTTACAATTTCAACTAAGATGATAAAACTAAATTACCCTGTTACCCCAACCAATGCAATACCACAGTTTCTTTAAAAACATTCCCCCTTTGTTAGGATGAAAATGGGTTGGACATAATTGCAGCTTGGTTTGATTCAAAGAACATAAAACATTTGACCCTTTGACCTTTGAGAGGAGAATGACAAGCATCTACATTTCCTTACAACATCACACCTGAATCACTTATTAAGGGAATGATCACCAAATAAAGAAGCTGATCTTGATTGCTAAAAACAAATTCTCCTTGACAGCATCTTAGGAAAAGTATGGAGATGATTTCGGGGAATATGCAATTATACTGATGTTTGGGGTGAAATGGGTTAATTAAAAATCTTGTTGAAGGCAATTTTTCAAGTGGTATTGACGTAATCAATAGTTTTGAAACCATAACAAAAAGTAACTAATATTTGAGAAGGATTGAATCTGTTTATGCTGTAATTTGGTTGCTTCAAATACAGTTTAATAGTCCTGACTCCAAGTTCTATGATCTGGTGGCTGAAAAAATATTTTTGAAGCTTCTTGAGGAAATATTTTCATATCATCATGATTTTATATGCTTTGATATCATTATCACATTACTGACAGGTGCTTTCAAAATTCATCCGGCTGTTACTCCTCGAAACGATATCACATAACCAATATCAGAAGTTGTATTGATCAGTAAATCAATCAATCAGGAAAAATCATCCAAGTTGTTTACAATTAGGATGTTTTGGTTTCTATTTTTTCTAACGTATCGGCAAAAAAAAAAATTCGCACTTTTCTACAATCGTGTGTCATAATCGAAACATTATATAATTTGTGTAGGAGTTCATCGATCGAATCACCTAGCAATTTCATGCTACGATATGTCTTTTACCATGATTTATACTTGTATTGGAAACATGCTGCGATGCATGTCGATAATTTTTACCTGAATTTGTTTACAGAGAAAAAAAAAGCGGGAAAAAAAAAAAACAATCGATTCCTTAAGCAGATATGAAAGACAAAATTTTCAATTAAGAATTTAGCAAAATGCAATCACAACTTCCGAAGGAGCGACAGTTCATTGAGATCCCTAAGTACGAGATCCACTTTGAAAATTTTAACCACGATCCACTAAAGGTCGATGAATATATTCAAATGAACGCGTGCGTTAACTGTTAAAATGTTTTGAGTAAACATTGAGAGGAAAAAAATCGCCGCAAAATCGATCGCGACACATAAACGTCTCGTCTATTCTCTGCTTTAATAACAGCTGCACAACCACTCTAGTTCGGAGGTTTACTCTTAATGTGAAAAACTCGCGGATAAATCTCTGAAGGAATCCGAAATCGAATGAAGGGATCATACGAGCGGGTGTATAATCCTTCTTGTTGCAAATGTTTGCCATGGTAATAAAGTGACAAGAAGAAAAGACAATAGGAACGTGAGAAATTAGCGGCAGGTCAGTTTACGAAGACTGTGCGCGACCACCTTGCTCAATCCATACTGTATTTCACAACAAAGATGACTAAGTCCTGGTTTGAACCAGGATTTCTTTACGTGACTAAAACCCACAACGATCATTTCAAGTGATTTCTGCTCGATGCATGAGCAATCTTTTCAATTATCAAATGCCAGCAAAAGCCACAGGAGCTGGCGGTTTTCAAGTTGCACGAATAACAGTTGTCATCGTTACAGACCATTTACCACGACCTTTCGCTTGCAAAAATTTTCTTATTCGGCCGAACCAGCCTCCTCTATTACTCATACTTAAAATATTAATCTCCATATAAACGATTCGCGATAAAAAATACAAAAGAAAAATTCGACATTTTGCGATTGCTGTGCTGACCAAACCAACTTTTTGCTGATTCAATGAAGCCTACCTTTGGCGCTTGAAAACAATCGATACGGCGATTACGCGTTCAAGACCGTCCTTAATAAACCTCGAAAATTCATGAAAATATTTCACAAAAAATTTTAATCCCAACCGCAGACACAAGAATCATTGAATATCTAATAAAGTTCGGAATACACAGAGAAAGAACGGATATAGATTCCATCTAAACAAACCTTAATTTTGTCTATACTCGAGTCCTGCTGAAACACGAGCTCTTTGAAAGCCATGGAACCGTTAGAAGTTACAACCAAAACTTTCTAGAGTCTCCAAATGTGTCTTGAAAATTACCGATCGCTGCAACATGCTGTCTTGTAGTATTTCGCAAAGCTCGTGTAGGTTTCCATAGAAGTGGGAACTGCGTTGAGTACAGCTGTTTTTGGAACCATGCGCAATAGGAATCTTATAGTGGAACAACACGGTGGGGGAGGTAGTTCGTAAAATTATCACATTATTCGCACAATAAAGGAAATGTGTGAGAAACAGTTTGTTAAAGGAAAAAAGTGAGAAATCATAAATAAAGTACAGTTCAAACAGACAGCCGACTCTAGGTGAAGCCGTTTTTTTTTAATACATGTGATGGAAATATGAGTGATCATTGTTATATTTGAGGGGGGGAGGGGGCAGCAAAAGAGCGAGTCATGGAAGGCGGGAAATTAGGTAATCGATCATTAACAGCTAAAATTGTCGATTTTCACGAAGGTAGTTTAACGTAACAGAAAAGAAATATCTTAGCACTATGACTTTTTAAGATAACGTCTCGCTATTTTTGTTGAATTTGTAATTCAGACTCATAGGTAACATCTGTTTTTTTTTTTGTTTTTTTTTCAATTGTGATTGTATGACAGTTTCACAGCCGCCTGTCAAAGGATTTCATAAAATAAGTGAACAAATTGCCTACAACTTTCCCAGGCAACAGAAAAAATAACTTTTTTCCCCAGTAATGCATCGGTCAAATGGCAGATCTTGATTGACGAATTTCTCGCATAGCGATCTATATCATGTAATCGGAATGCTGAAACGAAAGAAATCTCTTTCCCCATAGTCCATTCATCGGTCTTTCCTTGCCTCGCTCTGAGATGGAGACATCACTACAATCCGTGTTTTTGCGTTGAGCATACAGCATAGTTGTGTCTTCTTGTCGCTCGATTGCCTGCCTCTTAGGTCTCCGAGAGTGTGAAAGAGGTTGAGACAAGTGTGACCAGTTAATTTCGTTTTTTTAAACATTTTACAATTCCTCTATCAAGTCTTTTTGTTCAGTTATCCATGCTGAGCAAATTTGCCCCTCAATTTTTTCCCTGACAATTTGTCCCCAGCTTCTAAAACTGACATAATTTTCAGATTAAGAGCAAAAGGACCTCAGGGAAAAAAATTTTGAATATTTCATTCTTCCATCTGTGCACTAGAAGTAAAGCTGTCAGGAAACATCTGTTACTAAAAAATGATATGGCTTCAGCCATACACAACTGTCAATTAAAACAAAAGCTTAAGAACCGGGTGGCCATCAAAATACGCAAGATGAATCCAGAACGACAAAAGACGAAATAAAAGAAACTACAAATGTGGGGGCCAAACAAAGGTTAAATCCTCTTTTAATTAATTCAAAATAACTTTCTAAATTTAATTAATAATTCATTCAGTTCTGGAAGGAATAACCAGAGCCAGAATGTTTTGTTGGCAACATTTCTTGTTGAAAAACTTCTAAGCAAAGTTTTTCTTATTCACTGAAACATTAAAAGAAAAAAAAAATTAAGAGATTGATAACTTAAGAAAACACTTCATTTTCACCCCTCATTCTTATACAAATAACAAAAACTTAACAGCTACTATTAATTATAAAAAATTGTATGATATTTGGTGTTGCCAGTATACTCAATCTAAAATATCTGTAAGGCCCACTTTACTTTACCCAATGAAGTGGAGGAGAAAAATTGTTTTAGTAATTATATACCACATAGACTCCAAAAAATTAGTTTATTTCTTTTAGCATACTAAAAAATGATCAGAAATTAAATCACGATGCATGATTTTGTGTAATCGGCATCTTGGAGGTAAATAGTACTTGCGATTCACTTCCAAACTAGTCAATCAGCATGCACTAAAAGCACTTGTGTTGCATATACTACAGTATATTCTTTGATTTGAAAAGGTGAAAAAGTGTTACATTTTCTCACAAGATGCAGTGGTATCTCTACTACGTATGTATACATTAGACAAAAAGCAAGGTTTCCATAACAATTCCTATAAGCAGCTTCTGATGATGGTCTAGGGGGCTGTGCCTAAAGTAGGGGCCATAAGGTGGAACCCAAACAGTAAACCCTGCTCACATGCTAAACAGGTGATGGTAAGAGGTCTTTAACCCATTAAATTCCAGAAGTGATTAACATGTAACTTCTCCCTTAAAAACCCATACATCATTCAACGAACAGGTTATGAGAAAATTCAAACTTGTCAGGTAGAACTTGTTACCTTGATTTCAAATCACATTGTCAACTTACTGTCAAGAAAACGTATAGCAGCTAAAGGGGAGAATAAGCCATCAGATCTTGGAAGTTAAAGGGTTCAGGCAGCCCTGGGCTGCGGTAACTGGCTGTTATTGAAAACCTTGAGAAGTTCAGTCACATTTTGCACTCATTCAAGTCTGTCTTTACTGATTGAATTTTTTGAATTTCACCCTGGAGTTTCTCCATAAAGGAGGCATTCACAGCCATACATACAGAAGAGTAAAACTTGGGATAGTGACAATTACAGGGCGGGGGGGGAGACAAAGAGTTTAAATTTGACTCTATTTCTGGTTGAAGTAGATACATTCACAGTGTGACTCAATGATGTTGGTTGACTGCTGATACATGGATTTTGTTGGGCATCTCTTGAAATCCGATTCCCCAGACAAAAACTGCTTACAGTACTAACTGTTGGCTTTAAGTGATGGTAGATGCTAGTAGTTTCTGTCTCAGAGAGTTTTGCTTTCTGACTACCCTTGTGTGGATCAACAAATAATCCCCTGATTGATATATATATCTTATTAAACATTTTGTTGTCTAGTATCGCCGAGTATTTTACAAGTTGTGCCGTATTTTGACCAGCCAGTAGGGCTTGTCAAAATACAAACAACAAGTAAAAATACTCAATGATGCTACATAACAAAACATCTAATAAGAGATTTATCATCCAACACATCAAATTGTTATTTTGGTGTGGGCGAATTTTGCTGATATTTCTGGAGTACAAATATCGCATGTTATTTGTACTCGTCTCGCGCGTTATTTGTACTCTACAAAGCTCAGTTGGATAATAACTTTCTTTATTCTAATCACTTGTCTGTTTGATTTTGTATTGATAATGTAAGATGAAAGTTAGTCTTGGTCACTTGTTGAAGGTTGACAAAAATTAAACTGGACTTGTACCCAACCTCTGCTATCTGTGATAATTAGGGGGACAACACTTTTGTTACTGGCTTCAAGACTCTACATCTCTCTGGTGAAATGTGCATTAAGAATTTCATGATTTGCAAACTAGTCTGAAAAGTGCAAATTACACTATGTTGTCATCTCACTGTCTTGACATCTCCATGACAACACATCATTTTCACCATTCTCTGCTTCCCCACCAAGGTCTCCCTCCTCAGGTCCACCCTCCATGAAATAAGTATCAAGAAGCTCATTTGCATACTGACAGATTGTTTCATTACAGTTGTATTCCAAAGCTTCTAAACAAGCAACACCTTCACCAGCCTCAAACAAGTCTTTAGATGCTGGAAAATTCCTTAACGACATCTCAATAAACTGCAGACCAGTGATAACAGTGTCTTGGTCTGGTGATTTCATGATGTTAATGAATGATTCCATAGCTCCAGCATCTAGAACATTCTTTAAGTATTCAGGACCCTGATGTGCGATGTTGCACAAGCAAATGGAAGCCTGAAAAAAGAAAACAAAAATCAAAGTAATGATTTTTACATTTTAGAGACAATCAGTCAGCCACAGAGCCCTATCACTTTGTTAATAAGTTAGAAAAATAACATTTTATTTTGGTTTAAGCATTGCGTACACTTGAGAGATCTTTTAGAGCTCTACTGACGTAGAGTGCAACAAAATACTGTGGTTTTCTTCCTGTTTGACACCACTCTTACAGAGCCTCTATACACACTTCTCTATGAACCAGCAAAGGTGCACTGGGACAAAGTGATACACATACATGGCCAAACATCAAGATATGCAAGCATTAAAGCTGTGACCATTTTGGCTGTCAAGGCAAGAAGGAAAAATTTTGACATCTCCATTAAAACAAAAAATTGTCAATTTGGTAAAGCACAATTAGGGCAACAAAGAGAGACATTTTTTTTGCTTCGTGCTTAAGCCCTAAAATAAAAAGCAAGGTTAACATTGCTGTAAAATGTACTGTAAAATTGGATAGAATATACATTGTCCTTTTCTTTAGCCTAATTTTAAATTTTAACTCTAGGAACCATTAATTTTCATGATTTTTGATTACCCGATGAGCACTTGAACAAAAAGTGAGTTTAGAACTCTTACACGAGGAGACTTAATGACAAACCTCCTTCTTAATATCGTAAGTTGATGACATCAGATCCATAAAGAGTGGTAATATTCCAGCTTGCACAAACACATCAATGTGTTCGGTGGGTCCTGCTGTCAAATTGGACAATACCCACAGACTCTCCTTCTTTATATGCCTGTGCACTGACTGGAGAAATGATGTCATTGCACCAACCAATTTCCCACTCCGCATTGCTTGGATACCATACTCATCGGGTCCACTAACAATGTTACCTGCATAATCAGATCCACAGAAAATTGGAAAAATTAATCAATATGCTGTATTCATCACTTTGGAAAAAAAAAGAAACCTGTATAACAAAAAAATTGCTGATCAAAATCTGGTTTGCTATAAACTATACAATACAGGCATCTCTGAGCTGTACTGTAAAGTTTGTGGAGGTTTTATCATATTCTGAATTTCTCTCTCCAAAGTTGGCCCTTATTACGACAAGTATGTTTTGCCTGTTATTACAAGCATGTTTCTAATGTACCAGTGACCAATTAAATGTACCGAAGAACCAAAACACACCAGTAACAGCAAACCAAGGTGCTATAAAAAGTGACATGTAACCTTCTTTTGACCATGTCACCTAACAAAGACTAGCAGTATATCAATCAAAATGTTGCAACCAATACAATTGTTAGCCTGACTATTCATTGTGAGATAAACCATTAAGCATTCATTTATCCTGTTTTTCAGTCTTGCTATTCTTCAACTTTCTCCACTTGGGTATAATCATCACAAACTAGACCCTAGCAACAAAGTGTCAATACACAAAATGACCTTCACCCTAAACCCTCTTCTTCTAAAACCTTTCTTCTCCTCTACATCACTTTTGACCCTACACTGTATAATCCATTTTGAACATCAACATAATTACTGGTAGTTGCCAACAAATTAAAAACATGAAGCTAACCTAAGCTTCGTAACATTGGTGTCACAGCTTGGCTATCAAGTTGGGTTTGCTGTGCCAGTGAACTCAAGAACTGAACGAGAATGTCAATAATTCCCCCTGATACTATTGACAGCACACACACAGGTTTGGATGTCAAGTATGACAGTACCCAAGCTACTTCTGAAGCAACATCAGTGGAGCTGTTTCCTGGAGTTAACAGGTTGGTGATGAGAGGCACTATTCCCGCTTGTAACAATTCTTCAGCTACAACCTGGTCTCCCCTGGCAAGGTTGGATAAAGCAAATGCTGCCGACTGCACCACGGTGGATATTGGTGACTGGGACAGAAGAGAAAAAAAGCCATTAACAAAGTACAGAATATAATAATAATAATAATAATAATAATAATAATAATAATAATAATAATTAATAGATGCTTATAGGGCATTTCTAATCTCAATGCGCCTAACAACAGATTATTAAGACATAAGAACAGTAATGTTTTTTAAATATTATAAAAATACTGGACACTTTTGGTTTTCCTACATCAATACTGCTGAAATGAAGATACTATCTTTCCTGCCTGGGTGGAAAATCTACTTGCTAAAAACAGCTAGATAGTAACCCTCTTTGACCTAGACTCTTCAACCTTGACAACTATTGGGCACTTGTGGTTTTCCAACATCAATATTGCTGAAATGCTGGTACTCTCCTTCCTAACTGGGTGGAAAATCTACTTGCTAACAACGTAACAGCGAGATAGTGCCTCTCTTTAACCTTGACTCCTATGCGTGAGACATCAATTGTGCATCAAGGGCAGTAAATCAGAACAGGACAGGGGTGTGGAAAGAGGTAGCTTTCGTTTTATGTCTAAACTTATCTTCTTTTCTGCTTATGGGGTTTCTCAATATGACTGCTGCCTAGAGCATAGGGGAGTTCTATCTCTGCACTTGCTCCCATATCAGGGATTCCTGCATTGTGATCTAAGATCTTTTTCTCTGACAATAATTTGTAACTGGATACATTTATTCTCATTCCTAAAATTAGTAACAGCCCTCCTCCCAACCCTCCCCCCCCTCTTTTTTACTTGCTCCCATATCAGGGATTCCTGAATTGTGGTCTAACATCTTTTGCTCTGACAATAATTTGTAACTGAATACATTTATTCTCATTCCTAAAATTAGTAACAGCCCTCCTTCCAATCCCCCCCCACCTCTTTTTTACTTGCTTCCATATCAGGGATTCCTGCATTGTGGTCTAAGATCTTTTGCTCTGACAATAATTTGTAACTGGATACATTTATTCTCATTCCTAAAATTAGTAACAGCCCTCCTCCCAAACCCCCCCTCTCTTTTTTACTTGCTCCCATATCAGGGATTCCTGCACTGTGGTCTAAGATCTTTTGCTCTGACAATAATTTGTCTTGTTGTGCTTTGATAGTAAGAAATTAGACTGGTTAATGAGAGAAATACAGCTTCGATACCTTTAAAAGATTAACCATTGGAACAATGATCCCCTGCGCCCGAAGAATGTCCCTGCATTCCTGAGAATCGCCAGAAAAGTTTCCTAAAGCCCAGGCACACTGATCTTGCAGTTGCACATTTTGTCCGCTAAGATATGTGATAAGATAAGGAGCGGATGCTTTCAGTACTTTCATAGTATCCTCATGAGCGCCTGTTGCCAAGTTTGTTATGCACCATGCAGCTTCATGTTGTAACTGTGAATTATTCCCGGTCAAGTGTCCTACCAAAGCCCTCATACTGTTTTCGACACCAAGAAAAACGTTTATCAGTTCACTGCCTTGTGCGAACGCTTTTCTTAGACTTTTCAGGTTTTTCAGATTGATTTCGTTTGATTTTTGTATCGCCCTGGCTAACTCTCGAACTTGTTCTGTCGTAAAGTCTTCAACTTCGCAATCACTTTCAACTTCAGAGAAACGAACTCGTTTCGCACTCAACAACTTTTCGCGTTTCTCTTTCCGAATTCCTGCCTCCTGATCACGCCTTTTGCTTCTCTGAGACTCTACACTAACACCTGAAGTTTTGTACTGGTCTCTTCGATCCATTTTTAAAGGCTTTTGTTGGCTTAATGGCGCTATTGAAATTATCCAAGATTATTTAAACTTGGCCGCCATGATGGAGTTAGAGAGCCCGCATTTCTCTTACTCTTACTGCGGCATATCCCACAAGAATCATAATTGGGTCATGTATGGATATTTCTTATGTCCCCTATACATTTAATTTCCTACACTATTCAAACATAGAGTGACCTAACATTACATACAATATTCTACAGACTCACTAACAGGGCTATATACAGCTATACAGGGCTGTACACGGCTATACACAGCTGTAGAGGGCTATACTCAGTTATACACAGTTACATATGATGCACGATCCTCGCAGTAGAGAGCGCTATTTATGCAATAGCCAAAATCAGACCTGAAAAACATCAGGCCTGTACGGGATTCGTACCACTGACCTCTGCGATACTAGTGCAGCGCTCTACCAATTGAGCTAACAAGCCAACTGGGAGCAGGCCGTTAAGTTGATTCGTAATAAACCCGTGATGATAAATCAGATACATATGAACATATGAACAAATAGATGAACTTCACATATCCATTGTATATAATAAATTATTATTATTATTATTATTATTATTATTATTATTGGGTTTTCCTGTCATAGATTAAGGGTACTTAGCAAACACGTGAAACTGAAGCTTAAGGAAAAGTGGCCGTTAGTACATCCTTAATATTTCAACATTGTTAGCATAAAGTATCGTTGTCTAGGCATCGGATCTTATCCATTGATTAAATGGACTTATTAAATCCTGGGGTTAAGATTACCTCTGCAACTCTTTGTTAGAGTATTTTTCGATTAAATCTCATGAAACCAAGGCCAAGTT